AATACTTACAAAAATATTTGTCATAAATTGATACAAAATTCAGGAGATGTTGTTAATGTAGAAAGGCCGTATATTAACAACATATGAAAACTAAATAAGTCCATGGAAAGAATGTAAATTGGAAGAAAATATAAATGACAATGAGTTCATAAATCCATCATTGTTCTGTTATCCAAGTCAGGTAGAAATCTATTCCTTCTATTAGCAAAGACCTATTTATAGCCAAGTATGAAAGTTCTTCAGAAAACTAAAGGGATATAGAACTGGTGGTTATTTTCTTAACTACTGAAATATAGACTTAAAGAGAAGGGAATAAATGACCAGATGAGGTTTTTATTTAAATATATCTCTATATACTAACACATACACTTAGATTTAATGTTTGTTTGGTATGTAGGACCAGTAATTGTTAGTCCCACCTCACTATCCTCTTCTTTACTCCTAATCTGAGCTACATCCATTAATTACCAAGCACGTAAGCCCTGACGTGAGCCAGGTTGTTCAACAAAAATCAATAAATTGCCAATAACTGAGGCACTACCCAGAAAAAGCGAGACTGTGGCTTTCTCCTTGGTTCTTGAGGATGGCAGAAGGAAGAAATTGGCAGAGTCCAAACAAATTTAGTATAAATTCAAGGGAGAATGGTGTCTGAGCAGATGTTAAACAACTAGGGAAGACTGTTGAGAGAAGCTGAGAAGGCTTCACAGGTGTATTTAAAAACGATTGTTTGTTCTATGTGCAAACATCTCCCAGTTACTCTTAGTACAGCAGGTCCTCAAGTAACATCATTTCTTTCAATGTCATTTTGCTAGAATGTTGGTGAGATGCCATAGAAACTTAACTCTTGTGTATATCAATTAGCCTATGGTAAAATTGGTTTCCTTATGCATCATTTCACTTAAAGTCACAGAACATATTGATGATGCTAAATGAGGACTTACGGTGTTTATATGATTTTCCTCTTTGTCCTTGACATAGAAATTTAACAAGTTCCAATTAACCAAACTGAGATCCAAGACGTCAGTGGACTGAGTGAAAGCTACACTGACACTCTCCCAGGCCCAAACTGGAATTACAACTAAAATAGAGAAAAATCATCCTGAATAACGAGCTGAAGACTAGCTGGAAAGCACCCTCATAACCAAGGACCTAAAGTGGAGACCCCACATAGACTGGTAGGAAGTGCAGATATGAGAGGGCTAGCTGGCTCCCATAGGCAGCAGCTAAAGATCCAGAGGGATACCTCAGCTCTGGGGGGGAGGGGGTTCCACTGAGGACTCTGGGGCCCAAACCCCAAACTGGGTTCCCCAGCCCAGAGCACCAGAACTGAGAAAGGTGCCCACATAACATCTGGCTGGGAAAAGCAGCAGGGTTTCTGTCTGCCAGGGAGAGATGGCTGGAAATGCAGGAACCCTCTTAAAGGGCCAACACACAAAGTTTTGTGTGCAGCCACTCATCTTGGGCTCCAGGAAAGGGAGGGCAGAGTGAACTGGAGCGGTGTGAGAAAAACCCAGGGTTTCGGGCTCTGGAGATGGAGTTCAGAGGGCAGCCATTTAGACTCCCGTGCTGAGTCATGCCCCCATACTGCAGAGGACATCTTTTTCAGGCAGACCTTTGCCAGCCAGCCAACTTCTGCCTGGGGGGGGAAGCAATGCACTGGAAAACCTCTCACCCTACCCTGTGGAGTTTATACCTTGCTGTGGTCTATAGCCTGAGGCTCATTAAGAGCTTTGAGTCTTTGCCTGATCGCCTTCTGGAAAAGCAGAATTTGGTGTGCATCTTGGTCCTGCCCAAATGCACCTAGCCTCAGCAGAGGGAACCACAAGCCGTGGGTTGTTGATAGCTCTAAACAGGGTACTCAAGGCCAGTTACAAAGAACATCTGACATTGGCCTGCATCATACACCCTCCAAAAAGACGGAGTCCTAGCAGATCCACCTAATACATAGAAGCAAACCCAAATAGNCTTCCAAAAAGACTGAGAGTCCTAGCAGGCCTACCTAATACATAGAAACAAACCCAAATAGGCAGCCAAAATGGGGAGACCAAAAAAAAGCCCCAAATGAAAGAACAAGACAAGTCTCCAGAAAAAGCTAAATGAAATGGAGATAAGCAATCTATCAGATATNAAGTCTCCAGAAAAAGAGCTAAATGAAATGGAGATAAGCAATCTATCAGATATAGAGTTCAGAATACTGATTGTAAGGATGCTCAACAGCATGAAAAAAGATATGGAAACTATGAAAAATGACCAGTCAGAAATGAAGAATGACATAGCAGAAATAAAGAACACATTGGAAAGAATAAACAGCAGACTAGAGGAAGCTGAGGATCAGATCAGTGAATTAGAAGACAGGGTAGAAAAAAATCACTCAATCAGAGATCCAAAAAGAAAAAACTAAAAACAGGAGGAGAGTTTAAGGGAGCAGTGGGACAACATGAAACCTAACAATATTTGTATTATAGGAGAGCCAGGAGGGGAAGAAAATAAGCAAGGGATAGAGAATTTGTTGGAAGAAATAATGGCAGAAAACTTCCTTAACCTGGTCAAGGAAAAAGCCACACAAGTTCAGGAGGCACAGAGAGTCCCAAGCAAGAAGAATCCAAAGAAGCCCATGCCCAGACACAACATAATTAAAATGCCAAGAATCTAAGACAAAGAGAGAATCTTCAAGGCAGCAAGAGAAAAGCAATCTGTTACCTACAAAGGAGCTCCCATAAGGCTGTCAACTGACTTCTCATCAGAAACTCTACAGGCCAGAAGGGAATGGCATGAAGTATTCAAGGTAATGCAAAACAAGGATCTGAAACCAAGACTACTCTATCCAGCAAGGCTATCATTCAAAACAGATGGTGAAATAAAGAGCTTCCCAGACAAAAAAAAAGGCTAAAAGAATTTATCACCACCAAACCAGCATTGCAAGAAATGTTAAAGGGACTGCTGTAATAAGAAGAAATAGAGAAACATAGGCATAAAGAATTAAAATGGCAATAAATAAGGACCTATCAATAATAACCTTAAGGACTTCAAGGGAGAGATCAACAGCAATACAGTCATCGTTGAGGACTTTAACACCCCACTGACTTCACTGGATAGATCCTCCAGACAAAAAAAATCAACACAGAAACAGTGACTCTAAATGGCACACTAGATCAAATGGATTTGATTGACATTCACAGAACATTTCACCCCAAAGCTGCAGAATATATATTCCTCTCAATTGCACATGGGTCATTCTCAAAGATAGACCACATGTTAGGACAAAAAACAAGTCTCTACAAGTTCAAGAAGACTGAAATAATATCGAGCATCTCAGATCACAGTGGCATGAAATTTGAAATCAACTAGAGTAAAAATACTCAAAAACATTCAAATACATGGAAGCTAAATAACATATTATTAAACAATGAATGGGTTACCAATAAGATCAGGAAAGAAATCAAAAACTTCCTGGAAACAAATGAAAATGAACACACAACAACCCCAAATCTATGGGACACAGTGAAAGCAGTCCTAAGAGGGAAGTTCATAACACTGCAGGCCTACCTCAAAAAGCAAGAAACATGTTTAGTGAACCATCTAACCCTACAACTTAAAGAATTAGAAAGCTCCCCTGGGAAGCCATCTGGACCAGGGCTTTTGTTTGCTGGCAGTTTTTTCATTTCTGCTTCGATTTCATCCGTTGTTAGTAGCCTATTCAGGTTTTCTGATTCCTCCTGATTCAGTTTTACATGATCTCACTCATATGTGGAGTCTAATAAACAAAATAGACTGAGGGACAAAACAGATCCAGGGACACAGAAGCATGGAAAAGACTGAGGGATCTCAGTGGGAAGGGGGGGTGGGGGAGTGGGTGGGGAGAGATTAATCAAAGAACTTACATGCTTATATGCATAACCCTTGGACACAGACAACAGTGTGGTGAAGGCCTGGGGGTGGAGTGTGGATGAGGGGTGGAGGGGATCATTGGGGGGAAAACAGGGGGATATCCATAATACTTTCAACAATAAAGATAAATTAAAAAGAAGAAAAAAAAAAGAAATTCCACAGGTTCTATTTGAGTTACAAAATGAGTATCCTCCAACTAAGAGAAGATACAATGCTCTTCCCCAACAGGCAAACCTTCCAAAGGAGAACCTTTTAGGTCTTTTTGATAATAGAACTGGAAACACAGGCTGATAATGTGATGTTAATATATTTGCTCCACAGACTCCTTCTGTACAAGTGAAGAGGCAGCTATGGCGAGTTTGAAGAAGTATGTGGGTATGGATGGAACAAGACTGGCAGCGAGTGACTAACTGCTGAACTGGGCTTATGGGTACATGGAGTTCGTTATACTAGTCTCTACTTTCTCCATAATCAAAAGGCTTTTTAAAAAATGACGAAAAAAAGAAACTTAAATAACAATGCCCTCCAAATGATCAGAAAGAATGGACGACTAAACAGGAATGAAGGATTGGGATGGCATGAGTCACTACACAGATAATATAAAACATTAATTTAGCCTATAATTTCAATCTCTCCCCTTAATGCACAGCCATCCTCTTACCTGGATATATACCCACTGCTATACCCATCAAAAAGGGCTTATCGGACTTTTATTTCACCTGCCCTGGCTTTGATGAAAGACTCCTAGCCCAGGGTCATGGTAAAAGCAAAGGACCTGGATAAATGACTGCTGTGCAATACAATCCATGAATATCAAAAGCTGACAATCTAAACAACAGAAGGTTTGGTTAAAAAAGAGGTGTGATGGGCCATTAATTTCCATCTTGAATTTTTTACTCCACTAATCACTCAGAAAGTCATAGAAGGGTCAATTACTTCCCATTACATTGCTCTATAGAGTAGGCTCTCAATCGATGAATGTTAATGAGCTAAAATGGCAGCCTTGGCTCATTCATTCAATTACATATGACCACGCTACCAAAGCCTGACTTTTCAATTTCTCCCACAATGAAAGCGTTTTTGATAAATGCAACATATGAGGCATTTTCTACCTGATATCCAAAGAAGACCATCCGCCACATAACCAGCATGACATGAAAGGGACCGGTCAAAGGACTGCACGAAAGTCCATTTGTTCTTCTTGGGACAATATCGCTCAACTGTAGGCAGAACCTGGCGCAGTTCATTTCTGCCCCCGACCGCATAGAGGTATTCATCCATGGCACCCAGCACGAAATGCTCTCGGCAGTTCTTCATGGGTGCTATCTCTGCCCAGGAGTTACTGCGGGGGTCATAGCGACAGGCGGTCCTCACGGCACACGTCCGGCCGCTGGCGTGCTCCACCTCCCCTCCTGCCACGAACAGGAAGTCCCCCATGACCGCCACGCAGTGGTGGCTCCTTCCCACGGGCATGGGGGCCAGCTCGCTCCAGTTGGCAATGGCAGCTATGAGCGCGTTCTCCTGATCCACAGGGTTGAAGTAGCGAAGCTCCTTGACCTTGCAGACCTCACGCTTCTTCCCCCCGATGATATACAGCGTGTCGGACTGGAAGCGCGGCTTGGTCCTGCGAGTCTGCCACACGGGCTGCGCGTAGAGGCTCTGGTGGTACTCCAGGGCCTCGTTGACCAGCGCTGTGGCCGTCTCGCTGGCCCGGACGAGGGGGTGGGACAGGGCGACCGTATGGAGAGTGTCCACATCCATCAGGCCGAAGCGGACATACTGCAGCAGCTCATCCATGTGCTGGTAATGGCAGCTGTGCTCCAACCACCTCACGGCTAGCTGAAACAGAGGGGGGCACGGCAGAGGTAAGGACAGCCTCGGCAGGCAGGAAGGGCACGCCGCTGGCTATTCTTTCCCACTCTTACTAACACACTTTTCTTACAAATCGTATTTTGAGACCTGTTGAGGATCCCCGCCCCCCCCCTCCTTCCTCAGCAAAAATACAGAACTTAAAAGAACCTGAGATATTATTGCAGGCATTAGAAACGATGTTAAGCAGCAGTGGTGGGGACCTTAAGTTTTCCCTTGGAGTAAACAATAATCACTTTTCAAAGAATAAAAATACTGTTGTGAGACAGCCTGGCCCCTTAGGTTTCGTGCATAAGAGGCCCGGTACACCCCACCCCCAGGAAATGGCAACTGTGAGTGCTGTCATCACAGCTCAAGCAATATTTGTCAACCCGACAACCGCTGTATCAATACAAGCACTGTAAGAAAATATGTGATCATCCGAGACCACAGGGTGTACTTGAGAGAAAATCAATAGGACACAAGTAGAATGATTTAGAAAGGAAAAGGACTCCCCCTCCCCCCCCACCTCTTTGGTTGGTACATCAGTCAGGAAGCAAGAGAAGAAGGAAGATTGCAATCTATCAATTTAATTTTTTTCTCAATTAGTTTTCATCTTTAAGACAGCTGTTATGTGCCCGTGTAAGAGACTGGCAATTTGTTAGAGCCTTTTCCCCAGAAACAGGATTTAGAGGAGGTTATCTTCTATGAACAAAGTAGCAGAATGTAACCCTAATCTTTTCACCTATTAGGTCTAGATCTTTTTCAGGGAGAAAAGTTGTAAGAAATTTTGGCTACAGATAAACCAAATTTCTTAAACTAAAACAAGTGCATTAAATCGTAAATAACAAAAGTTATCAGTTTAGAAAGTATCATCAACAAAAAAAACAATGCATGTTATGGAGCACCTGAAATAATTTACTTAATGTGACTTAATATTTAAGTTTGGCAAACTTGCCCACACAGCAGCATAAAGAAGCATATCTCCAGTCAACATGTTTGATATGAACTCTTCTCAGTAGCACCAATATTAGACTCAACCTCCCAAGCAATATAAATGTGGATCTGAAGGAACAGCATGAAAAAGTAAAGTAATGAATTAGAACACTGAAGATTTCTATTTTGTTTTACTTGCTTTCTGTCCTGGTGACAGGGACCCCTAAACTCTCTGAAGCATTAGATGATTTCAGACTTTCAGACTCTGTATCCATTTGACAAATGGCTCCAAAAGGCAATGCATATTTAGGGTTTATCTTTGTAGCTTTCTGAATGAAGGGAATGTAGGAAGCGAAGTCACTTCCAATTGGCATCAAATTGCACCTTTTACTGAATTACATCATTTGGAGAAGCGACAAAATGTATTGGGTGCAGGTAGCCTGCCAATGCCAAGGATGCAGACATCATGGAGAGCAGATGAGTGACACACTCTAGCTGTGTGTCTAGATACTGGTATTTTTAATTTAAATAAGATAGAAACCTCACAAAAAAAGACCTGTGTGTGGTAACATCAGCAATAATCAAAGAGACTGCAGAAGAAAACCGTCACTTATCAATCGCCAGGTCTCTGCCAGAGTGGAGGGTTCCCACAGGCAACATCCTGGTTTTTCTCCACCATCAGTTTAGAAGTTTCAAGGGATGGGGCTCCAATTATTTCCCTGGGAAGATAATTCAGCAACTTCATAAATGACTTTTCATTCTTTGCCCACAGAGCTTTGAAAAGCTGTCAGTGGTAAAGTCATCCCATTCAAGGTAATTTCTCGTGCACCAGGTAAAATTTTCTAAAACTTAACCTTTACTACTGCTCCTAATTTAATAGACAAATTCCAGCTGATGTTGCTTTGCTCTGTAACAAATTTCTTACAGCCTACTGTTTCTGCATCTCTCATATGGATACTACAGGAAACAGCACTGGAGAAATATTAGACAAATACCCGTGTCTCCATAGTCCCTTTTTACAGCATGGTGCCGCCACTCTAATTGTTTTTCTCTTTCCTCATAGATCAGTTCTCCCCACACCATAATCAGTCTTCTAGCCCATCTCTTAACACTCACCGCTTTCTCTTTCTCTTTGTAGCAAACACTGTCGCTTACTGTGTGAGAAGTACACCAGCCATAACTAGGCTCTCTGCCTTTAGGAAAATCTCTCAGGAATCGAAGTGACCGCCGTGATCCGTCACCGGTTCCATTCTGGCTTTGTGCCTATTGCCGCCCCCACGTCACATGTGCACGTGTGTCACGATGCTTTCCACGCTCAAACTCCCCAACTACTACGTATCACAGAATACTTTGCGCACATACGTTTAGTTTGCATTTTCTGGAACAATCTTTATCTTACTTCTTGCCAATATTTCTAACTTTTCACCTATTTTCTGTAATTTTCACACTTTATCATTTATAAATAGTTTCAGACTACACAAGTCATTCATACTTAGATTTATCTTTTCTCTATATCAAAGGTAAATATGATTTACAATGAACTACTCTGCTACCAACTTCCAACCCATCTTGCCTAGATAAAGTGTTACTTAGAACTTAAACCCAGTGCTTCTCACACCTCAAATGTGCTCAAATTCCTTGGGGACTGTGGGGGAAATGCAGATTCTGGTTCAATACGTTGGGTGAGGGGACTGGGAGTCTGCATTTCTAACCGTCTCCAGGTGATGTGTACGCTGCTGGCCACGGGCCACACTTTGAATAGGAAGGTTTTCAACAGTTTCCCTCCCATTCGTGAGACAGTACATGGCTGCTTTATTAGAGTAAATTATGTTGTTTCAAATTTAAGGTTTAAGTCAAATGAAGTCTACGTAGTATGCTTTATTAAAGATATAGGATACCTGTAGCTTAACATTATGGATAAGACAGCCTATTTCCTATGCAGTAAGACACGGTAAGATCTTACGAGGGGTAAGACGGCACACTTTGACAGCTTGGTTCCATAGGGTCCATAAATCAACAGCGGATGTGACAGCACACGTAAGTCATAAACACTGCGCAGTTTTGCTTTTGCAATAATACGTAAATAAATGTAGTAGTGTTATTGTACTGTTTTTACTTTCATGAAAGTGTAAAAGAGAAAAAAAACTGGAACTATGGATAACTCTTACTTATCCAAATAATGAAAGAACGGGCAAGAAAATTAAAACAATGGGCTACCTGAAAATCACTGCTCCACTGTGCACCCCACCTTAGCACTTACCATGCCCTGCCACAGGCAGGCGGTGGAGGGAGTCCTGGAACCCACTTACGGGATTTAGAGACCACCGAAAACAGCTGACGCATCACTGGGGCGTCACAGAGCCCAAAGACCACAGTTAGCTTGCAGTGTATTTTGATGCTTATGTTTGAAAGTGGTTATATTGGGAACTGGTGGCTTTTAATGACACTACACTGAGAAACCGTAGCTCAGGGAAGCTGAAACCTATCCTAGCTTACTCATTCCGGCATGCTGACATCCCCAGCAGCCTGAACTCGAGCATGTGCTGATTGGGAGGGAAATGAATCATTCAGTGAAAGTCTTATCTCCTACTTTTTGGTGACAAAGCCAGCAAGAGCGGAAAAGAAATCAAGGATTCGGTCTGGGGGACACAACAGAGTCCTTAGGAAACATGGCTATTAGGCAAGATGTTTCCTCCACCATCTGAAACACAGGGGCTGTCATCTCCAAGGCCATCTCCCAAGCACCCCACCTGACCCAATCTAGTTCGCCTACCCTAGTAGAGCGCTGTTACTTCCTAAAAGAAGCATTTGCTACAGCTTACTCCAGCGTCACCTCATCTCACCCTCAGGTCCTTGATAAGAACAGTGGCTGGCACATAGTAGGCTATAAATATTTGTTGCATACATTGAAAATTCTTTACAACTATTCTTAGGCTATTTCTCTTGAACAAACAATATCAATTCTTATATGTTTCTATTTATCTATCACAGGCTTCAGTTTCCTACTTTATCAGCTCATCTTTGTAGCTTCTCTATGTAAAGCCCTAGAAGCTCTCCGAGCTCCACAAGCAGCCTGCAGTGTGCGGGACTTACTTACGTAGGCCCTACTTTCACTCCCTCGGATAATTGGTGCTGCCACCTCTATCTGAGATTCTTGGCAATGCAATGACCATTGTAGTCTTTTAAGCCCTCAGATTAATAAACCACTAGGGCAAGAAGAAACTTTAGAGTACATCTGGTTCAAGCTTCTCAACAGTGTTTTTGATCCACGGTTGGGAATCCATGGGTGTGGAGGGCCGACTGTATGCATTGTTCTAGGCCCATTTATGGAAGAGACTTGAGCATCTGTGGATTTTGGTATTCTCGGGGTCCCTGGAACCAATCCCCATGGATACTGCAGGAAGGCTGTAGGTAAGTTTTGGGGAGTGAAAAGTTACATGTGGGTTTTCCCACTGCAAGGGAGACCGGCGCCCCTAAGCCCCGCAGTGTTCACAGGTCAACTGTGTATATATGAATGCTCTTTAGCAAAGCAGTTCTCAACAGGGTAGTGATCAGGTCTTTTGAACCAACACTAAGACAGATGAAGCCCTCACAACACTGTCTGAAAGCAGCAACCACTGCATAGGACTCCTCAGCCAGAGCTGAGGCCAGGGGCGCTGTGACTATTCACTGTGAACTGGGCGGCAGCCGGCTTTGCTGGGCGCGCACTGGGCCTCCCTGCGCAGGAGCCCCGCTATGACGGCACAAGTGTCCATATCCCTGCAATCCTGTTGTGCCACTGATCAACCAGGGCACCAGTCTCCCCTCAGTGCCCCAAGGCAGCTTAGGTTCCCCACTTCCACAAGCTCAGAAAGGGGTAAAGGAGGGGCCCAGGAGAAACCAACAAAGAGCCGACATTGCGGAACCTCCACCAAAGAGCAGGGCACGGTCCAGAGCCCGGGCCACGGGGAGCGGCAGCCCCAGAACAGGCGACAATGCTTAGGCTGAATTTTTTGTTTCTAAACAGTAGCAAGCACACTCCCTACCTTCTAATATATGCCCTCCAAGGGAAGGTG